AAGTTGTGAACTGGACATGTATCTCAAGAGTTTAGAGATTTATGGTCTTTTGTTTGACTTTTTACTTAACAATGCTTAATTTTTTAATGCCTATTTGATGCTTATAATATACAAGATCTTAACACGAAAATACCCACAAAACATATGTGCTAACTCTTGATATTGAATCAAGAGTATCATTATACTCTTGATTGATATTGCATTAGTTGAAAATCTATTTTCCAAAATTGCATAATTTTGTTATGAATAAAAGCCAAATATGTTAAGGTAGGAGATTCATTAAAATAGGTTTTCTCAAGTTTACTACGCTTATCACTGACATGGAACTGAAATTCAACACTGTCAAAATTTATCAAATAGTGAGATCACATTATATGTTGCAGCAGATCAAGTGATGATTAATATATAGAAAAACAATCAACATCAGATTTGAAATTCTTGATGAAAAGCTTATCATTTGTGATGTTAAACTCAAATCAATTAATGTCTGGGTCAAATTTATTTTAGTGAAGAGTTTGGAAGTTGTGTATTACTTTGCAGGTTTTACATAAGTATCACACGTAAAGTTTTTTGTGAATTTTTTATTTATGTTTCTTTTCTTATCTTACTCACTTTTGTTCGATCACAAATTAGTTCTTATTAGCTCTAGTTTATAGAGAAGCATATGTTTCTAAATTTTTTGTAAGATTATTATACATGTTGTGGATACTGCAATTTAAACAAATTTGAGGGCTATTCTGGAAGAAATTTAACTTGATTCTTAAATATAGTTGAGCTAAAACTAGAATTGATACGTAGTCAAAACATCATAAAATACATATATACATATAATAAGATTGCTAGAAAGATTTATTTGTGATCTTCATGCAAAATCTTCAAAGTAACACAATGTATTTTTAAGCTATACAAAAAAGTTAACTTTGGAGAGTTTTAATGAATACTTGGACTAAGTTTAATGTCAATCTTGAATAGCTTAGACTTTTTTATCACAAACTATCCATTTGGCAAAGAGATATATGATGTCAATGTGTTTCATTTTGCTATACATCTTTTATTTTGTAGTAAGGTGTAACTCACTCTGACTATTATAATGATTTTTAACTCTTGTTTTAATCTCATTTCTGTGAAAAATCTATTCAACAATATAGACTTTTTTTCCACTTCTTCTATCACTACATATCTAGGTTTTATTATGCAAAATTAGAGTTGCAAAACTGAATAGCTTGTTCATCAACAAATGCATTCAACAAAGGCATTTATCATCACTTATAAACACATATCTAATTGTAATTTTACTATTGTCAAAATCCTGTTTATAGTTAGCATCAATGTTATATAGCAATAGTGTGTAATAAAACGTCAAATAAAAATCCATAATCTTTAGTATTTTTGAAATACTGGAGACCTCATATAATAATTTTTAAATATTTTCTTAAAAATTCAATATGTATATCCTACTCGTGATCATAGTTAAATCAATCTTAAATTTTGTGTATATCATCAAATACATGAGATTTTTCATTGTTTTGTCACATAATATTGAGACTTCTTTTGTTATCAATGACTTCAATCGTACATTGAGCTGCAAAATGTTCATATTTGTATGTTAAACTTGTCAAGCACATATTGAATATATTAATCTTCACTTGACCAACATAAGTTTTTTTTAAAGGTTCATAAACATAGATATCTAATATACTTTTGAACCAATCTAAATCTTTCATCTTGAATATAAACTTCAATTGATTTTTGCATCTTTTGACGTTGTATTGATCCTTTGTCAAAATGAGTATGGTCATCCAAGTAAAATATTAGAATAAAAAAATAAAAAGAATTTACTTTTCCTATTCTATGTATATACATAGATAATAAAAAATCTGTAAAAAGGTTTGTGCTTCTATAAATTCATCAAATCTTGCATTTCTTTATCTAAAGTATGCAATGCACATATCTATATCTTTTGGGTTTTTATCAAAGCCAATTAATAATTTCATGCTTTAAATTGAAAGAATTGTTTTTTGAAATATATTTATTTGATACATATTCAAGTTTAATATTATAGCAAGTGAAGATATCAATTAAATTATAGCATATTTTTTTACACGTTAAAATTTTTATTGGAGTTCACATTTTATTTTATTTTGAATCTTTTAACCATCCATTTAATATGAATTTTTTTTATTTTTTATCTATCATATCGTTTTTTAGCTTGTACAGCTATTTGCTATCAAGCAAAAGTTGACATCTTAAAAAATCCTACTGAATTTCACGTCTTATTATCAATCAACAATTGCATATTATGCAATTGGTAATATGTGAATTAAGATTATTGATAGAGGCTTGAGCTTTACTTTAGAAATAAAAATTACCCTTTCTAGATGAAATCATTGTCATCAGCATACTCAATTCTATATCATGATTTTTAAAACTGAATGAATCAACCCATAATCATAATCTTATAGTAGCTATAATAATCTGATTTGTTGATTTTCATTTTGATGCAGTGACTTTAGGCTTACCAAAAATAACTTGACTTTTTCCGTAAATTTTCAAAAATTTGCTTCATCTATATTCATTAAAAAAATTTCTTTGAATCAGATTATGACATGTGACACACAAAAGATAATCAATCTTATCTTTAACAAGATTTGATTGTGAAGATTTGTTCTTCTTAGTATGGAGGATTTGAAATATGTTTCTCTAAATTTAGAAGAAAAAAAACCCTAATATCAAAAGTTTACACATTATAAGATTTTATTGTTGATGAACTTTTATATCAATAGCATATTCAAGAAGATAATACATTTTGGATATAAGATTCAACTTGAAATACTATCACCATATTTATTTTCTTCATTCTGTTGAGAAGATTCTCAAATATGATATATCAATTTTCACAGCTTGAAACTAAAGTTTTATTTATCGTTGTTGAAAATGAAAGTATGAAAGCTCTACATCTTGCTAACATCTAGCATTGATTTTGATCTATGACTTATTTTTTTAGAGCTGATAATCATCACGTCTGTCATATTCTTAAAATTCTGTTTTTGTGACGTCTATATGAATGGCTTTTTTTTTTAACTCATGAGAGTTTTGACATAAGAGTTTAAAAAAGTCAAACTTTGTGTAGTAGACGTAAGTTTGGATAGTTGTGATACTATTAAGTTTTTTTATTAATTAATTTTGATAAGATATTCACGGCTTAAGATGTTTTACTTGATAAAAGTACTACGCACTAAGTGTAAAACTTAAAAGTTTAGAATTTAGGTCAAAAAATCTTAGGAGTTAGAAATTAAACTTTAAATCTAAAATTTTTTCTTTTTCACTAATCTATCAAATCACAAGGCAATTATTTTCTTCTTGCTTCTAATCATAAGGACAATTTTTACTTCTATCAAGTCACAAAAACAATACTTTGCTTTTTGCTAAGTCAAAAAAATCCTCCTTAGCTTTGTTTTCAAAGTTTGACTTACATAGTTATATATACTAAAACAAATCGAGGTTTTTCAAGCAACACAAACATCAATATAATGAACTATTTCATAGTTTGCTTGCTATGTCTTGTAAACTCTGGGCTTACTCTTATTGAGGCTTATCTCAAATGATTTTTCAGTAATTCATCATGAATCTAGAAGATTGAAACTCATCTACATGTACATATCGACATATCTTTTTACACAGTCACTATATTCATCACTCAGCACAAATTCTCATTGAAGGTTGAAATTCTTTACATGCACGTGTTAAAACATACTCTGCTGAGAAAACATACTCGACTCTAGCCACTTTTCCTTAAACCTTATTCTAAACTAAAAGAAACTATCTTTCTCATCTTCTTTGTTTTTTGTTCTTTTAAAAATGCATATACGAAGAACACTGAATGTTATTCAATCTAAATTGTGGAGCTTCAAAAAAATACTTTTCCGTGCTTCTTACCATCAATTCAAAGATTTTGTCATTCCTAAGGTTAAGTTCAAATGCGGTCACATGATTTAGCTCACAAATGATTACGTAAAGAATTTGGATTGCCACTATGCAGACTGTTTACCGCCGCTGATGTTATGAGAAGTCTGTTAAACCTTATAATGTAGAGTAAGGAGAAGTCCTAATAAGTAAACTAGTTTATTACGTTTACAGCTTCAGGTGAACCCAAAGAGCTCATAACATAGTAAACAAAGTCAAAACAAGTCCTAGTATTTCACACATCAACCTAAAGCTATTCAAACTATTTAGGTTAAACAGTCAAGGTATTGTTAGGTTGATGTGTGCTGCCATGTTTTTTCCCCTTATATATTTGGCCTTGTGTTTGTTTTTATATAAGGAGTCAAACTAATGATTCATGTACTGTCATGGTCTTAAGCCCTGTTGTTGCTGACACAAGGCTTTGGTAACTTGACTCCATGATCTTGGAGTGTCTTTCTACAGCGGGTGACCTCCAAACAAAAGTCATACAATTATTGCAGAAAACTGTAGAGCAACATGCATATGTATATCATAGATCTAGAAAATGCATGGCACAGTGAGGCGATTCTCAAGCTTACTTCATTCCTGTTACATTCCTTTGATAACTGACGGAAGCTTTAGAGTCTATTATACCCAAATATCCTCACTCTGCACAAAGAAAATGCAAATGAAATGTCAAGCACAACACTGGCATCGTCCACGATTTATCCTGTAGAAGATGAAGCCTTCAGACATGGCTGAAGCATGAAGGAGGCACCGAGTTATACAGCAGTTAAATTTGGAAAAACTATGCAAACTTTCAATATTGTTATCATAGGCTCGCGTTTTCTAGAATCTTCCTCACGTGCGATGGGTAGCAAGGTTGGCCGGCATGAACCAGAAGCCAGGAAGGAGAGGCGACTCTCATATGACTGGCTTGGGACCTGGTTGCCTCCGGAGTCCTGAGCCGAGTACGCAGGCCCTAAAGTCCCCCAAGAAGAAAATCATTGAAGCAAAAGGCTCATCTTTATTTGGTTTGCCATGAGGTAAGATGGTGCATGGGCGGTCCTACACACTTTCCGTTTCCCACACTGTCAATACGCTTTGTGAAAATAATGTATTTTGATACACCTAAAACATGGTTTTCATATAAACCCATGGATCGTGAAAAATCGTTGCTACTAGCAATCACTTTTTTTTTATTACTTTTCCTTTCTATATCCCTCTCCTTTGTTTTTAGTTTCTCATCAAATGGCACTTTGCCTATGTTTATGAGCTTAATGATGTCTTGATGAGGGCGCGGTGTGAGGACCCACATGACATCATTAACGACAACCATGATCAGACCATCCAACCAATAGATATAAGCAAATGGCTCGCTGATCTGGTCAAGAAACAGGGTTTTGAAGCACAGAAATCTACAAAGCTGTCATCACATCTGCGTTTGAGCGACTTGGATTCTGCCGACTTGCGGTGTGAGGACCTCGGTCACTTTATTGACAAGACCGGCAAGCAATGTGACTATTTTGCAAATGGACGGCTTATCTGGTCATCAGGTCAAGAAACTTTTTCTGAAGCACAGAAATATAAACGGCATTTACTAACAATGCGTGTGTGCGACTTCGATTCTGCTGACAACAACGGAAGCTTCGGACCCAGCTTCATTACCCATATCCCGGGAGAATTCGCTGGACAGATCTCACCAAGGGCCACAAGATATATCTCAGTCGCTTAAATCTCGTCGATTTCATGGAAAAAAGAGTGTCACAAATTGCTGGAACCCCTAAAAAAATCGTACAGCCATCAAACATGCAGGATGCCGCGGAAACGTCAGCGGCTATTCTATCCATGGAACAAGGGAATCGAGGGCCAACTGGGACCACGCCACGTGGCTGGGCGTTTCTCTGCCCTCTTGAGATTATATTCAGTACTCCGGGCTAGGGAGGGAGTGTGAAAGCAAGAAGACATCGTCTTCTTCCGGAGGGCCTTGGCCTGACTTATAAGACTCGGTGGTCGCCCTGGTCCGAATGTAAATAAAAGATTAAGTGAGGCTGCAGTGGATCCGCGCAACTGACAAGATGGCCATTCGTGCTGGACTTCTTGCCCGTACAGGGTCAGCGGTGGGAGGTATTAGGAGGCCCGATGCGATTTTCTCTTCAGCGATCTCAGCGTCTCAAGCATCCGGGCACACGTTCCTCAGAGCTGGGAGTGGATCCATAGTAAGGAACGTGGCGCTCGGGAGTGTGCAAAGCAGAAGAAAGGTCGACGTTTGGGAGCATATTTGTGGCACCAGAGCTAATTGCAGTGATTACAGCGCTAGTGCTGCTTCAGCTGGTCGGCGATTTCCTGTGGGAGTCAGAGCCATGTCTTCGTCTGCAGCAGGAGAGACTGAGAAATTGAAGATCATTGGCATTTCTGGATCTTTTAGAAAGGGCTCCACCAACACTGGCCTCCTTCGTGCTGCAGTCGAAATCGTGGAAAAAGATTTTTCTGATGTAAGCCTTGAAATAGTGGAAATCAGCAATCTGCCTTTTGTGAACACGGACCTTGAGGTCAACGGTACATACCCAGAATCAGTGACAGAATTCAGAGCGAAGGTTTTGAGTGCTGATGGAATACTTTTTGCTTGCCCTGAGTACAACTACTCCGTTACCGGTGTGTTGAAAAATGCCGTGGACTGGGCTTCCAGGCCACCCAATGTATGGGGCGACAAGGGTGCAGCGATTATCTCGTCCGGTGGAGGTAACGGAGGATCGAGGTCCTCGTACCATCTTCGGCAGACGGGAGTGTACATTGACTTGCATTTTATCAACAAGCCAGAAATGTTCGTGAAAGCTTTTGAGCCCCCGCAGAAATTCGACCAAGATGGCAACTTAATCGACCAGAAATCCAAGGAGTACCTCAAGGAAGTAGTCAAAGCCTTGCGTGCTTGGATTATACGTTTGAAACGCTGAATGTTTGCAATTTTGCCCAGTTCGTCATATAGCCCCTACATGTACAGCTCCTACCCCGCGAAGCACAGAAAGTTTAGCCAACAATAAACTGTTCATACAAGTTTGCACCACACGGGGCTTTCTCTCTTGCCATGTCCGCACAGAATTATGATATAAAGCTGATTGCCGAGTATTGTCTATCCTACTTTATACCTCCGGTTACGATGAAAGTGTGAAGGTGTGCAATCGTGTGTATCCAGTCGGGACATCATATGTACCAGGCCCAGTGCTGTTCTATTGCTGTGGCATCGACATTTTGAGTTTAAGTGTTACATAGCGAATGTTGTAGAAGGCGACATGACACCAATCGGGAAGAGGTACACGGAACTTTTAGCAGTTACGAGCAGAAAAATTTCGCGGTTGTAAATTCACCTACGGTTGACCTTTAGCGCCAACGGATGCCTGCTTGTTAGTCGTTGAGAAAAGTGGTCGATCCTATGTCTGGTTGATGCCCCGATTTCTTAGGATCCAGATACAAGTCAAATATGTCGCTCTTCCGATACTCTAGACTCGGTCTCTCATTCATCACGGTACATCGCCGTTCAGATCACTACGACGAGCAGTCAAACAACCTATCTTACTTCAGATGGAAGTGGTAGGATCAGGAATTTGTGTGGAGCTTGAACGAGGCTTTGGTTCTTGGGCTTTCACCCGTCACGGATCCACCCCGCCTCAGAGTTCACCACACGCAAGGAAATCTATGCCTCGCGGAAAGCTTGTGCATAGCTTGTGAATTGAGGTTGATACAGCTATGCCGGTGGTTACACTTGTTGTCAGAGCCACGGAGGATTACATCTGGTGTGGAAAGCGGATGGACCACGCTGGGTTTACTGCAATCCTCAAAAACGCTTTCTTTTCTGACAAAAGAGCGTAGCTTGAGCTACGTGGAGCACTGTCTTTGATTCCGACGCTTCTAGGTTAAGCAACGAGGTATCGAGACGCATTTGCCATCGGAAACGATGGCAATTTGCATGCCTGAAGGATTCGTAAGGACAGGTGTAAGCATCTGCAGTTTTTCTCTCTTATCCGATAACGAGATTAATTGCAGGTTGTCAAGAGATTGTCTCAAATACTGTCAACAGAAAATCCGACTTCGTTCGCAATCTCCACAATGAGGAAACGAGAAAGCACTGGGAGAGCAGGGTTAGAGAAACAGAAGGTCAGATCATCTACAACTCCCCTGCGCTAGAACAATTGGCGTGCGGGTACCACTCTCATAATAGCCTCTCCGTAAAATCTCCTGTTCTTAGATACGACGAAAGATGTGGTAAATTACGAAGTCCTCGGCTGGAATCAAGTGGAGACCGTGATTTCGACCAACCCCCTCTTTTCGAAGAGATCCATTCCATCCGAATACACAGAAGTAGAGATAACTCATCCAGTAGAATATCGCAGTTTCAGCCAAATAAGAGCCAAATCGTTGTTTCCCCTCTCCTCTGGGCAGTCAGATTTTTTGTTGCGGCAGTTTCCAGAGTTTGGGCTGCGGAATATGTGGTCCAAGATCAAGATTTTACCACCACGATGGAAGGTGAAAAGCCTACATCAAGCACCAGGCTGAATGTGGTCCTCGTCGGTTCTGGACACGAATTTTCTTGACATTCGTGCTCCTGCCGCTGCTGCCATTGTCGCGCAAAGCTCGGCGTCTGCAGTAACGCCCTGCAGAGACGGAGTCAATCTCTGCTAGATAAAAAAAGCTCGCGATTACACCGACAACCCATAGTCGTCGTCCCGGAGAAACAAGGACTACATCATGGGAAGCAGCCCTGACATGGGGAAGGACGAACTCATGCGTCCGGACTACGTTGTGCTAGAGGAAGAAATTGAAGACAACTACCAGCCTACGGAAGAAGGTACGTTTCAGTACGACAGTTCCAACTGCGCACGAGATTCTATTCTTTTGGCAGAGAGCCGTCAAACAATGCCCTTGACACGATGAAACTCCACCCAAAACTGACACATTCAGTCTCCTGACTGAAATGACTTCAGGTTGTAGTGTTCGCAAGGACCATAGACGTAGCCTCCAGAAGCTCCCACGATCCTTTCAGCGAATTGCAAGTTTGTTGCATCCCTTATCCACCTGAATTCTGCAGAGATCATTGAATATGCGGAATGGCTTGGAATGGAGTTGCCTCGAGACAAGGACTTGTTGTGGATTGCTCATGGAGGATTGACGAAGCCCCTGTCGACGGATTGGAAACCTTGGTGATGAACTCTTCGCCACACAAAAATCTTCGTTCAAGGCTTAGTCTTGTGAAAGCTCCGTCAGTCCTACCCTCAATTATTGGCGTTGTTACATTTTGCCACAAGTATTGGCTAACCCCGAAACTCCACATCACGAACTGTATTATCCATTTTAGTGAAGCCTACGGTCCTGCACGTGAGTTAAGTCTCACATGGTTCCACCTCTGAGATATTCATACCTGCCTTCTCCATGCGTGCAGTAGAACCGAGGAAGACGAGATATACTACTTCAACTTCGAAACTGGAGAAAGTCGCTGGGATCATCCTTGTGATGAATTCCATAGGTACGAGAGGATTGTTGACTCTACTTGCTCTGCTCGACGTCGCAGATTAAAATACTTGTTGAGACATTTTCAAACTATTCTTTCTGAAATATTGAAGTTTTACAATCAATGTGGAAGGGAGCTGTTGAGCATTTAGGAGCTCTTGCTCGACATTCCCTTGCAAAATGAGGATGTCAGAAATGAGAATGTTCTAAGAATGTACAGGAACTTGCTCAACGCTGAATGCCAAAAGCTAGGAAGGACGCTGGCGACGCAGCTTTGGATGCAGAGTTCACCCGAAGAATCTTCTAGTCAGGTTACTCGCCAATGCCTCGTCAACCGGCCACACTTCAACCATTGAGAGGAGAAGTTTTCACTAGGGATAACAAATACGGCACCTGTCAAAGTCAGTGACAGTAGCGTCACAAGGAAAAAAATTAAAAAAAGTGATGGGAAAAAGTGATGAAACTGGAACAGAAAAAGTGAGAGTGATGACAAGACAGAAGTTGAACTGATAAAGTATTTGCTTTCAAGCATGCGTCAGTGTTGAAGGTAATAGTTCTTCTATGTCTTTAAAACAAAGTGTGAAACAACTTACTTGCGCTGCAAGCTTCTGATCTACCAGACTTCGGTCTTGCGCGACGATCAAAACTATAATGATGAAGGAACGCATGAAGAAGAGATGGATATCTACAAATTGGCTACACCTTCTCGAACGCTCGGGGAACAATTATCGGAAGCCGGTAATCAGTGATCTTCTTGCCTTGGAAATAAGCAAGACCAAAGTCTTGTGTATGTCCGTGATGCAGCAAGGAGTCATATATTCCATGAAGTTTATGGGAATTTGGAAGATCGTCGATAGATCATTCCTTAGAATCTTGGCCATCAAAATTGAAGTGGTTTGCTATAGAGATTTGCCACATAAGGAACTGGAACATATGCAAGGAAAAATATTACAGGGTAACTTGGGTCGTCGACATTAAGACCTCGAATTCATCGTATTGCAGGTTTGAATAGCGGTGTTGCAGTCTCGAACCGTAGTGGGATCTCCCAGAAGTCTCCAGGTACATTCATGTAAAGCTCAAGGAATCTAATCACTTAAACGATGCGGAAGTTCAGCTTAATACTTTACCATGAAAAAGAGGTAATGCACCAAGGTTGGTTGATCCTTTCGATATGAATCTGCATACTTCTGATCCAGTAATCGATTTATGGTGAAGCGCAAAGGAGAGCATAGATTGTGAAGGTAAAGACATATAATCCACCACCAACTTTTTCAGTTTAGACGGCATTTTTTCCCTCGTTGAGGAACCGTTTGCTCGCATCTAAGTGGGAGGAAACGTACCAATGAGATATTTAGAAGAGAGTTCGGAAAGCACCATCAGGCCAAACAGTTTATGCTTAGAAGCCTCTCTTTTGCACGTTTCCATGTTTGTGGAAAGAACATACAGCAGTGTTTCGGTCTGACTTTGCAGTTGTCTAGCTGCCGTTCTCCTCAAATTATTCACTCTTTCCTGTCATGTCTGCATCATGACGAAACTGCATAGAAGTAATTCATCTTATACAAATATTTGCTGCTTGTACGCGTAGATCATGTGCCACTTCTGGAATTAACAGCAAATGAAAGTTGAAGATTGGATGTCTTCCATTCTTTACTGTTGAGGTCAGATTCGTTCAGGACAAGAGTCTCGAGGATCGTAGGAGAACAATCTCCTTTGAGCAAGATATGCATATGAGATCCTTTGTGGTGGAGCTAAAGCGACTGACTACCGCTCGCAGATGATGGAGGTGGTAGACGCATTGACTCTGATCCGCAGTCGGAGGGAGGGTTCCAAATGGAGCTTGTTTCTGAGATGCGGGTTAGTAACAACTGTAAGCATGCTCAACCACATTGAAAAGGTGGAACTTGACACTGTTATTGAAGTATACGCCAGATACCGACCTGTGCATCTCCTACTAAAGCATTTTGACCTGTAATCCCTTCGAAAGGTGAATCTAACTTACAGTAATTAGCACAGTGAATCAATAAGTTCGGCTGGTGTCGAGTGTCATGAAAAAGAAGCATTCGCTTACATTTTCATGAGATTGGCTACCTGTCACATATTCTCATTTTCATCTGCCACCTTCGTTGAGCCTCTCTCTGTGCAAGTAAACATGACACCAATCTTGAGGAATGTATGAAGATTGGCTTCAAATAGCTCCGGTTACAGATAGTTAGTAGATAGTTAGTAGATGGAAGCTATACGAGGCACGAAGTTTGTTTCCCGGCAAGTGTAGATCTTTCCTCGTGGTATAACAAATACTATATTGTCACCAGAGCATGCTTCATGAGCATTGTTTGTGATCGTCTAACTATAGATGTATTCTGCAGATTGATCGAAAGGACGTTAGGACAACCTTGGCTCCTTTGAAGTCCAGACCGAGTACGGAAGTACAAACTTCGTCACCACGGACGGTAGAGGCTCAACCCGGCAGTAAAGCCGAGGTTCGTATCTTGAGTTCTAGCAATGAGGAAGAAGAGGAGAGGGAGATGGTTTCAAGTAGAGCCCAAATGATGGCAAAAGTGAGGAAGAAAATAGACGAAGAAGAAAAAGCTGTCCGTGACCAAGCACGACGAGCAATGCAGGAGAGGGTGGATATGGTGATCAATGTGGAGGAAATGGGATTGTTAGCAGACGAACGTGAAAAAATGTCTGATCAAGTGGCTAAAGAGGTGGAGTTGCATAAGCAAGCGGAAGTTGCTAGACTGAGAAAAAAGCTTGGGATAGAAGTGGCTGATCAAATGGCAGGTGAAAGACACCAGATGTTGGAGAAGGAACGTGCAAAGATGTACGTTGAAGTGGCGAAACAGGTACAAGAGGAACGTGCAACTGAGATTCTCAAAAGAAAGGAGATGCAGGTTACTGAGAAGTTCCAGTTGGACGAAGATGAAGCAGAACAGCTGAAGAGAAGCGCGAAAGAGAACATAAAACTAGAGCATAGCGAATATGACGAAAAACGTCGCAGTGAATTTCTCGATTCGACTGACAGCAGCGTGCAGGATCCAAGAACGTTGAAGCATACGTTGCAACCGGATTTCTGTAGCTTGCTTCAATATTCAAGAAACCATCCACAATTCCAAAGCCAGTTCTTGACAGGAATCGAAAGAAGAGAAATTGTTCGAAGTGCGAGGGAGAAGGTAAAGCTAGAGGAAATGCTTTTTGATGAAATGAGAGAGGAGATGGTAATTCGAGTCAGGGAGAGCATAAGTGTTCTTGAAAGAAGTATGTTTGAAGAAGAACACAGATTGGCAAAAATCAAAATGCGAGACAAAGTCAATAAACTTTACAAAGAAATAGTGGAGAAGGCTGAGCTTGAATTGATCGAGGAGAAAGAAATCATACTCAGGTCCAAGATAGAGGATATGCAGAACAGACTCCAGGAACTGGTCACATGTGACACCACGCTAGGTACCGGAAGACTCACCTCGACTAGGCTCAGTAATCATCTTCCAGTAACAGCAACGTCTACGCAATCAAAAGTACAGGCCTCAGGTTTTTCCTCGAGAGGGAGGATGTCCACTGCTGCTCTAGGAGGGTTTGACGTACCTGTTGCTTCCTTATGTAATTCTGTCATTCCTTCAAACCTATGGAGAGCTGAAGATGACGAAGAAAAGAATGTCAAGGTAGAACAACTATGGAGCAATAAGGATCCTTATGCTGGTGCCGGGAATATAATGGAGGTCACAGTCATTCCAGATACCGTACCGAGCTTGCAAGAACGGAGGGATCAAATACAAGGGAAATCAGCAAAGGTGTCGCAAAGGAAACACTCCACGGACTTTGACATTCCTGTTGCTTCAGATAATCTACATCTACGTCTTACCGAGTCGAGTTCTCGTTCAGAGGACAGAAAAAACGTGAATGTAGAAAACATCCAGAAGGGACGGATCACCTCTGGCATTGCATATGAAAGATCAAAGATTCTTGATAGTTCACTTGACAGCATCCAAGGTTTGAAGAGTTCAAACAGTGCGGTGGAGGAAACTATAAAACATCTGTTTGAAGACTTTAGGAAAAAGCTGAAGCAGGAACTGCTCGATATGAACGGACATAGACGGTGTACTTCTCGACCTTACGATACTTGCCAGGAACTTTGTGGGGTCTCTGATTTGCCACAACCCTTAGGGTGGACGAGCGGAATGAATATCAAAGACCTGATTCACTTTTGGAGAAACGAGCTTCAGGATAAGTTTCTTACGCTTAAGGACGAAATGAAGGAAGAACTGAAGACCTTACTCAAACTCAAAGAAGCAATACCTGAAAACTTGCCAACGAAAGAGCTACAAGCTCAGAGAATAGGACCAGGGATGGCCGAATTGCAACTCGAGCATGGTGGGGCAACAGAAACGCACAACACAGAAGGGCGCGTCGCCGAATCAGACATTTGCAAAGATTGGAGATGTGATGAAAACCAGAGCCACCATCTCCGCTATCCCCGCAATAACACCAACATTGCAGATAAGGGAGAAAGACTGGATATTCATAGAGCAAAAGACATCTCCGACAAGACCAAGGTGTCAAACGTACACCAGTGGATTTCTCAAACAGATGTATCTAGCGAGGCGAATTCTACACCTGAACTTCGAGATGAAGAGGAAATGGAGAAAGCGTTGAATCGCTTCAAACTGAAACATGCTGGCCATGTCACATACCATCCTTCGAACCAGAAGACTTTACAAAGTATGCAACTTGGTGTGCCTTCGAACTTTGAAAAAAAAGTTCAGCCACCTAGCAGAAACAGCCAGGGTGAAGTTTTGCACCATAGGCTTGCAAATCAACCTAAATGGCAGGAGTTGTCGCAAAGTAGTAGTGGGCTAGAATTCTTCGCTGCAGATAGCCAAGCAGCGTTAAAAAAAAGGTCGAATTTACGAACTGCACGCATGAACAAGTGGGTGCAAAAACACATAAAGTGGATCATGCAGCAGGTTTCGTATGGCTGGAGGCGAGCAGATACCATCTGTTTAAAGTGTGGCATGGCCATAAAACAGATGGTCCGTCGATTGGACTCAGGAAGGGCAATCGTTGTTTCTCTAGTTCAAAAGTCTAGAAGGGAATGCAAAATGGGCCGCTGTAAAGGAGCAGAGCATGTCCGCGCGAGTGTAGATGCAGAGGTTTCTAGTTGGCATGACAGAAGGCTGGATAGATCTCCAAACATAGACCCGAGGAAACGTCACAAGTATATGGATAGTTGGATGGCAATAGAAGAAATAGGTCATACGGAACATGGAACTTTGAGAAACGTGGGTTTGCGGCAACCATCTGGAGCCGAAAAGAAGAATCCTTCCGATTTTCATCTTGCACTAAATCCGCAAAAGAACGACGGTGCGATGAAGTGGCTATTTTCAGATTCCGAATTAGAGGAATTGAGAAATCTATGGAATATGGATGCAGATTATGAAAACCCAATCAGAGCTAAATCCCAACTAAAGACAGCTAATCGATATAAAAGCGTAGTTGAAGCGCCTGACAAGTGGACTCCAGGAGAACCAATTACTAGGGCAGGTAATAGCAGCACGTCTCAGGAAATAGAAGACAGGAGCTTAGTCTCCACTAGAAAAAACATAGACCCTGAATCCGGTCAAGGAAAGTCATCTATGGGTAGGAAGAAAATGAGCGATATCGATATGCAAGAACTAGAAGATGCCATAGCCACCTTCAGGCAGATTCGAGAGAGCCCAACCTCTGAAGTCAGTGGATTGGGACCATCTGACATACATGACTGTGAGCACGAGAGTTCTTGTGAGGTTTTGAAGGTAAGGTCTAATCAGGATAGAGAAGGTATGACAAACATAGACATGGAATCCTTGTTGCAACCCAGTTATCAGGCTTCGGTTACTGAAAGGATCTCAGAAATTGAAGAAGTTGGAGAAAAGGGACCTGATTTTATAACCATAGATTTCAAGAAGCCACGAAACAATGGATTAGCACTGCAAAGAACGCAGACATTATCAGACGGGTACCTGAGTGAACTTACCGAAGATAGACGAGTTTCTCATTCCACGTCTCAAAATGGAGTCAGTTTGACAAAATGGCGATTTTAAATTTCGGTTCAAACCATTTCTTTCTTTGAAATCGCTTGGGCCAGATGATGATGGACGTTCACAGGTATCGGGAAATCGTCTATTGGACCTTATGAGATTTCTACCCGCTCCCACGCGACAGTTATCAACGCCTCCCTCATACGTCTAAGTTATTACAAGTTACGTACACACAGGGCTCCAATCCACATATCATTCTGAGAACAGGAAGCGCAAGTCTTCAGAAGACTATGGAGCACACGAAGAAGGTTTTACTTTATTTCTCTTCAGGTGGTCCAGTGGTGAAGCTGTAATTTTGGTTTTGGTCTCTTGCATGAAGATTTGAATTTGAATGGTCAAAGGAGATTGGAGAAAAAATGTGTAGGAATCTCTGCCTTTCGTCCTCCCAACTGAGGTGTCTGTAATCGCACAACGTGTACTAAAGAAATTGCCTGTTGCTATTGAGATCTTAGTTGGTGTGAGTTACAATCTTCAACTCTTAACACTTGGACTTCTACTTATCAAGCAGATTGTCAAACAATCTGCTAGTTTTGTACACGTTGTTTGTGATGTAACACTTGATTATGAGTCAGTCCAATCTTGGTTTCTTTTTGAAGTTTAGTAATCTCTTTCCACATGAGGAAACTCCAAATCAGTGTCAAACAACTGCATGCAGTTTAGGTTGATTGATGACATTCTCTGTACTTCATGCATTGCGACAACTGAGATTATATTTAATCGAGAATCCTAGCAGGCCTAATCATCTTAACAACTAAAAAGTTTCCTCATGTTCTGTCAGTGGTACTATTTATTAACTTGGGCCAAAGACGAAGGAGGTCTTTGGGTTTCTGTCTTTGCTGCTGATTGAGAATCAGAGTATGTGCAGTTGATTTCTTGGCTTCATCAAATTCTTCTAGTGCTGAAAGGTACAGTTGAACACTACTCAATAGTGGACAAGAAAGTAATAGCATACCTCCAACTAACATGCCTGTATCACTATAAATTCCATCCAGTTGATTTGGACAGTAGGCCTGCTTGTATTACTATTTATTCCATCCACTACTTAATTCTTAAATCTAGATACTTAGATTTAACACCTCAAAATGACTTTAGAAATCTAAGGTCATTTTGTCTAAGGTCAATATTTACGAAACTGCTTACATATTTTTGAAATAAAAATGATATCAGATATCCTGTGGTAGTAGTTTGTGAACAAATAGGTTCAAGCTTATTTTATCTGATTCTAAATGTTCATTTTCATCAACAATAGTTATGAAGCTAAAACCCAGAATTGTAAAGGAGATAATCAATCTTTTGCATACAAACTCACATATACATCTTCAAGTTTCATCTATGATATGTTATAGATTAAACATTTATCAATTAAATCTGCTTAGCAAAGAGGATACAAACATGATTTTTTAAAATATATCCTAAAACTCTAAACACTTGAATGAATCAGATAATCATAAATTTATACAGACCTATGAATTTATTGTGTGCGTTTGATTTAAAATCAGTTTAAAAGACTTATTTTTTTCATATAATACTTTTTTTTTTAAATTACATTGATAAGTACAATGTAATTAAAGTATTTTGATATATATGATTAATTTAATCATATTTTTAAAAATGTACTTTATGTATAATTATTATAAAAAAAATAAGACTACTTGAATTATTTTCATCCTAGAAATATATCATCCTACGATACAGTTTTAAAGTTAAGAAAATATTTAAACATTAACATAAAAATCAAAGTTGATCAAAGAACATTTATATTTATTGACGATGACTTTGAACAATTGTTATAAAGTTTGCAAATATTGATTCATAAGTTATGAATCAATATTTGCAAACTTTTTAACAATTGTTCAAACCTTATGAATCATAAGGTTTGCATTGAATGTGAAGAGAAACTTGAAAAACATAAAAGCACACTTAAAATTCAAACTAAACTCATATTAAAGTTTGTAGAGCTCAATTAGCAATCAATGAATTAATCCTTGTGAATCAATATTTGCAAAATCAGCATGCAATGTTCAAATTCATCATCAATAATCTTATGTCATCAAGCAGTTGGATCACTATAAGGATTGCGTTGCTATTTAAAGTGAGCTTAGCAAAAGAAACATTAAAAAACTACAAGAACTTTAAGATTAAAAAAATGAAATAAAATACCAAATCTCATTGATGCTTCAATCATTATACAATGAACTTGCAAAATCTTGATAAGAAAAAGAATGATGAGATACAACTCTTAAAGTGTTGAATCTATTTAACTACATATGCTTACTCTTTGTTACAAATGTCATTACATTGTGATTGATAATTTTCATCCACAAGTATTTCACTGATTAGTCTTTTACAAAAGATCATGTTATTCTATATTTTAGATTTTAACATTCACAATATCGAGTGTGATAAAAGATCTCATAAATATAGGAAATAAAAAATAAATCAACTCTACACTTGGTTTTAATGACAAAGAGACAAATTGATATGAAATATGCTTAATCATAAGTATAATTAATATTTATTCATCACAAAAGCTTTTTCTTCAATAAATCACGATTTTAGAATTTAGTTTACATCATGAACCCTTAATATTTTCAAATTAAACTGTAAATTATAATAATTTTGAAATTAGATTTTTGAATTATTATTACAAAGTTGTAATAACTACTGCATATTGAATCAAATAAAGATAAAATGAATAATGCAAGTGTTGAAGACAGTAATAGAAAGATTTATACATCATAATTTACATCTTCAATGTGAATGATGTTTATATCATATAAGTGAAAAAAAATTAGTCCTTTTTCTTACAAAGAAAGACGGATAACTTTATTAATGCAAATAGTATAGTAGCTGAATTTAAACTATCAAATGAAATGAGTGGATTTTAAAACTATGAAAAAAAAGTAAAATATTAGAAATGTAAACCTTGGATACAATTTTGAAGCATAAACCTTTAACGACGAACATACTTCTTCATTTATATACTTCTAGACTTCACATGCCCAAAATTATAAATCTTGAGTCTCAACTGTTGTGATTGAAAAGAGAGATCAGTATGAAATTAATGATCTAACACAAGATTAAATATTGATGGTTTGATTGATGATTGAAAGATTGTTAAACAACAAGAATTTGAATAACTTTCATTTTTTGATTAGTCTCAAAATGTTGCATAAAAGTATAAGAATCAATCAAAATTCTCTACAAAATCATCAGATTAGATCAATATACCTTTTGAAAATTATGTTATGTTAACTATTCAAACATTTTCAAAATCATAACATTAAAGCCAAGGATGATGTTTTATGTAGAATTTTAAAAGAATAACAATGTTATTTGCCTCAACTTGAATAAATATTATTCTGAAATATGAGACGCAATAAGTTGCTGAACATAATATTTAGAATGCGAAAAAAATATTCAACACATGAATATTTGAGAAGATAAAATGGATGTAAATGTTAAAAAATTTTGAAAAAATATTTTCAATATCAAATTAATGAAGAACAAATTCACATAAAAAAAATTCATATAACAATAAAAGATTTTCATCTGATTCAAAATATGCACTTATAGCCAATAAATTTATTTGTAATATTTAATTAAACTATTCACTAGATGTGCATTTTTTCATTCAATTTTTGATGTACTTGTAGTTAAAAATCTAATTTTACAATCATTACAATCAAAAAAATTAAAAAAAAATTTTAATTTTTTTCAATATCTAGCACAATAAAATATTCATGTCAACTTTTTTTGCAAAAAAAAACTAGATTTGATATTTGCAAGAAAATAATTTTTTATTTATATTTTTTCATAAAAAATTTATTCTTGTATTATCTTGTGTAGATAACAGCTATATTTTAACAAATTAAAAAAAAGATGTTGTTATATGCATAAAGAAATTAAAATTTGCATTCAAGATGAATATTTTGATCAAGTTCAAAAATTATATTGAGTTTAAATATTTATAACAAGTGAATTAATTGTTAAATCAAATCTCTTTCTTCAATATGTGATTCATTGAAACAATTTCTTATTTTGACACATCTTAAAGTTTTTGCAAATCAGTATGTAATCAATCAAATCAAACAAATACAAATGTTAATTTTTATAGATACAACTTTGAGACATTTCATGTATTTGATAATGTGCATTAATCCTGGTATTATCCAAGCTATAAACAAGATGACCATATTCATGTCCAAAGATATACATTAAAATATTGTAAAATAAAATTTTGAGTTTTTTAAATATACTACAGATGTAAATTTTTTTCTCTATGTTATGTTGAAAAAGTCTAAACCCTTAATACATTACATTAATGTTTACTCTAAAAAAGATAAAAAAAGATAAAAAGATAAAAATTTAAGATAAAAATAATAATTTAGATTTTGATTTGATTTTTTTTTACATGTTCAGTTGATTGTATTACTTGAAAATTTATTTCGAAAATTTTTTAGTTCACTTAACTTTGAAGTTTAAAAATCTTAGTATTGTAGAGGTAGCAAATTAGAGTATATGATTCAAAAGACTAACCATTTTAATGAAGATAAGCATGTTGATATCCTTTATTATTGTCATTTTAATGTATTACATATTACTAAAATCAGGTTTTAAACAGTTGAATGAATAATATCAATATTGAATTTTTAAGAAGATTCAAATTTGATAATTAGATAGAGCTAAGTAAAAATAACGATAAACTTGATATATATCTATTGATCAAATTGATATTCTATAATGCATCCTCAACAAAATAAATCATATACTCGTAGTGTCAATTTTAGATGAATGATTTTTTTTATCATCACATGACAAAACATGTGTAAAAATATTCTAATTTTATAAAAGTAATATTAATGTATTGTATCAAGATTTTTATATTACAAATTATTATTTTTCAAAATTAATATTGATCATTTAAACCAAAAAATTTGATTTATATTTAAAAAAAATTTGATTTTTTTAGGTGATATAAATCTTATTAACAAATATACAATTAAAACGTTATCAACTGTAAATAGTAACAATAAACTTATATATCTAACTTAAATTGGGAAAGATCATACAACACATATATTGAATAAGATTCATAATTATATGCCATAACAATCAGTATTTGAAGATTTTGCTTTATGAATTTGATCTTAAATTCAAGATTACAGTTAGATTTTTTTAATTATCCAATTAATCTAGATAAATTGCTGAAATCAAATTCACTGAAATTTATTTTCTTCGAAAAACTTCTCATCATTGATTTTCTATTGATTTATCAAAAAAATTTAGGATTCATTGGAAAATTTACAGTTACTGATCTTGATTTTTTTTCCCTTTTTACCAAAGTATTCTTTACTCATAGAAAGAGGATTTTTGACGAAGATATATTAAATCAATGAGTGGATTGAATTGATGCGAACATGATCTGGAC